TTGAAGCAGGAGGTAGATGACTTCTTGGGTACAGTAATGATGGTGGAGGCTTTGAGGCATGTGGGAACGACGGCCTGACCCTAGTGATGTGTTAAAGATGTCTGTGAAGACATTTGTGAGTTCCACAGCATAGTCCGTCAGTGCTCGTCCAAGGATGTTATCGGGACCTGGAGCTTTGCGTGTGTTGATTTTGGCAAGGGATCTCCACACACTGTCTGGGGATTGTGTCACCACGGTCTGTAGAGTGGGCTTGTAGTCTGTGATGGTTTGTATTCCTTGCCACTGCCTCCAAGTATCTCTGCTGTCACTGAAGCTTTGCTGTAGCTGATGCCACGTGACAGGTTTGCCCTTGCTGTTCTTAGGCTCACCTAATTCCCAGCTCTGAAGGCTGCATTTGTCAACCTTAGGAGCATTTAAACCTGACCTGTGAGCCATGGTTTCTGATTGGCCCGGACAGTGATAGTCCTGGTCTGTATTTTTGGATGTAGGCAATGACAGTTTCTGTATATTCCTGAAAGTCTGCGGTGTTGTCGTGTGCGGCAGCCTGTGGTGGAAAAGCAGTCTTGCAGTGCCTCTGAGGACCCTTCTGGCCACACCTGTACCTGCTTATGAACTGGTTTGGTGACTTTGACCAGGGGCCTGGGGGAACCCATGGCACACCTAGGTTTCCGCCTGTACTGACCCTTATGCAAAATAGGTGGAATTAAGACACAGTTCCAAAAGCAAACACAGCTGATCAGTGCTGAGAGTAGTCCTGTTGCTGAGGTTGGGGTGATCCTGTCATCTCTTATGAACGACCTCCAACGCTTCCGTGACTGGGATGCAAGTGAAGACAGATGTAACATCTCTCTCACTGTACATGTACTGTTTATAAAACTAGGAAAACATAAACTGCACAAACAAAATAATTTGCAGGACAAACGTTTGACATCAATTTTGTTAGATTCTATTAATGTGGGGGGGCTGGTTGACCTCTGATGACCTCTAGAAATTTTTATTAATATCTTTAAAATGATAGCGGCACAAACGAAAATTTTTGAAGCACAAACCAGCACAAACGTAGCACAGTTGATTGGTACCCATTTTGTTTGATTTAATTAATGTGGGGGGGCTGGTTGACCTCTGATGACCTCTAGAAGGTTGCCGGTTCGAGCCCCGGCTCGGACAGTCTCGGTCATTGTGTCCTTGGGCAAGACACTTCACCTACCGCCTACTGGTGATGGCCAGAGGGGCCGATGGCGCCATATGGCAGCCTCGCTTCTGTCAGTCTGCCCCAGGGCAGCTGTGGCTACAACTGTAGCTGTCTCCACCAGGGTGTCAATGTGAGAGTGAACGAATAGTGGAATTGTACAGCGCTTTGAGGGCCCCAAAAAGCCCTATATAAATGCAATCCATCATTATTATAATTATTATTATTAGAAATTTTTATTAATATCTTTAAAATGATAGCAGCACAAACGTTTGATACCACTTTTGTTGGATTTGAAGAAGGTGGGGGGCAACTTCACTCACATACACAGCAGTGGCTTCCACGTGATCTTTGAGTCAATCAACTACTTTTCTGAAAATAAATAATAAATGCTCAAGCTCTGCATGTGTGTACAGCAAAGACAATATGAGCAACAATACAAACTTTGAGAAACTTCTCACGCTCTCAATATCGTGTTTTCACCGTATTTATTTTTAAAGTTATGATTAAACAAAGAAATAAATTCACAATTTGCAGTGATCAACCATTTCCGTTGAATTCGAGTCAATTTGTGACAGTTATTACTTAGAGATAAATTACACAAAAAACTCTTGTTTGCAGGCTTGTTGGAGCCCCTTCTGCCACGGGGGCTCTGGGTAATCAGCCCCAAATTAATTTAAATATTGTAAAATGTCACTAAATGAGCGCGAAAAAACAAAGAAAGAGAAAACAAAGCAAAAAACAAAACAAAAAAATAATGATCAACTTCCGCCGCAGAGGTACTTCCTGTGGAGGTCTGCCACATTGTCTGCAGCCGCTTTAAAAACATCCGTTATCGTTAAGTTATTTTCCGTATTTATTGTAGTTTTCACGCTTCGTAAAACGTTTTTATACAGAACATCTACGGTCGTAGCCAAAAACCGCGTATAAAGACGTATTAATATGCTCACGGTTATAAACAGTCTATGAATAGAAACAGTTTGGCAGTGGGCTGGACCATGAACCGAGCGAGGCAGCTCCGGGAATAGACGAGCTTTGCCGCAGTCGAAGAGTCCATCATCACACCTCCTCCTCCTCCTCCGGAGCTGTCGAAGACTCTCAGTTCCTTGACTGAATCCGGGAGTGTTGGAGTAGACATGGCGCCAGGCCTGTCCACTATTGTTGCGTTGGCTTTGTATGTGGTCCTGTCCCCTTGTGTTTCCGGTAAGTTTGACTGTTTTAATCTCTAAACGGTCGCTGTTCGCATTAGCTATCGAACTGCGTGTTGTCTCAGGCCGCCACGCAGTCTGTGACGTTAGCGTCACATCGATATTAGACCGCTGTTTGGGCGATGTCACAGACGTTCGTCGTTAAAGTTACAGCTCGTGTTTTAAACCTTTTAAAAAGACTAGTTAGAAAGATTAGTTTGTTACAGCCTCGTTTTATTTGTTGAAAGCCATGTGCACGTTAATGGGGGTTTACGTACGGCTGTTTTCTAACGTTTCAGCTCAGAGTTACCATCAAGCATAATCTGGTCGCTCAAGCTGCCAGTTAATTAGGTACAGAGAAGGGTGCAGCTCGGTTGTAGTATAAGAAACATGTGAAAGATAATTTGGCAGCGGTGGAAACTACATCATCCAAAGTACCCACAAAGTGGAAACAGCGGGGTTTTAAACTGAGGATAAATAAGGGTGTGAAAACATCACCTCTCTGTAGTGTAGACTTCAACAACACCCAGAGCTACAGCCTCTGAAATGAAACTGAAGGTGAATCAACAGTTTCCCAAAAGTCACCAAGTTGCAGTGCTGAAAAGTGAAATTTTATAACTAGTAATTACACTAATTGATTTATTTGAAATGATTTATTGAGGATTGAGCTAACTTTCGCTGCCCCTCTTTCTGCTCTGTTACAGCAGGGGACAACTGCCTGGCCTACACGGGCCAAAGCCTCCAGAAATGTTTTTCGGGATATTGCTGTGGGGACTGCTATTACAGATATTGTTGTTCATCTTATTCCAGTCGTTTTAAAGAAGATGACCAAAAAAAGTGGTATGTTTTTCTCCTTCAATCTATTTTTGATGTTGGTTTCATTTTCCACCCTTTTCTCTGTGTAATTACAGCCAAGTGTGTGTTTTAGGCCGTTAAGAAACAGGAAGTAAGGTTTTCCAGTGCACGACCACCAGCATAAAGCTGAAGCGTGAGTCAGCTACAGCTTGCACCGAGGCCTTCATTCACATTATCCCTAAGATTAATAGACCATACTCCTCCACATGCCTGCTGTAGGACTGACAGGTTATCTGTTCTTTGTGAAACCACTGAACTACAGTGAATTCAGCTTCTTGTAAAAATATCTCCCAAAGCCCAGAAAAAGGGCCTTTTGTATGTTTTGTGCTGGTTTTTGGAAAGTGACACACCTGCAAACACAAACTAACTGAGGAAAGGGAGGCAGCACCGTGGTTCTACTTGAACTACAGTATCAGGAGTTGTTTTTGTTGTGCAGTGATTTGAAGGTCTGAAAATTGTAGCGTACTAGTAAATACATGATAGCCTTGTTAAATATTTAATCATACTTTGGGTTTGTGATTAATTCCAGTTTTAAAAAGGTCCTAAAATGGTTAAATTTGACTTGGTGACTTGTAAATGTTTCCTTTTCCTGTTTTGTAGTAAGTTAATGTCATATAAAGACAATTTTTCATACTAATTTCTTTTTTTTCCTTTTCAGTCCCAATACTGTTGATAGCTCCAACAGTGCTAAATATGAATATCATAGTTTCAATACGGTACCCTTGGTGTCTGGTATTGTGGGCTTCATCATTATTCTACTCATCTTCATCTGCTGCTGCGTCTGCCCCTGCTGTTGCCTGTACAACATGTGCCGCAAACCACGCCGTAAGTTTTACTAATTCTTTCTTTGATTGTTTAAGCCGAGAATGGACGATATATTTTCCTGAGGGTTGCAATAAGCGTCTAATTGTAGCATCTGCTGTTACCAGTCGCAGTTTATAAAGAGTTAATGTGCTGAATTGAGTTCAGCTCATTCAGCTGGTGCATTGTGATGTAAAGACCCTGCAGAAAGGTCAGTGCAGTTAAAAACAGCTGGCAGACACGTGGACGCTCACTGCGTGATGATTACATTTGCATCAGTCAGACCAGGAGGACTTGGAGATGCAAAAAGTATAACGAGGGCCTTGGATAAATAAATGTAACATAGCATTAGTCGCGTTGCACGACTGGTGCTTTTAAATCTTTCTATCACCTTTATATCATGGACCCATTTGCGTGAGTCATGCTGTTGTGCATGCACATTTTCTCTGCAGACTCGGGGAACAAGCTTACACAAGTCACATACCTAAGCTCATCTACAGCACATCCCAAACCTCATGTGGTCTCTGATTCAAGAAGCTTTTTCATGGCACCGGGAGAATCTTCTACAGTTCAGGGGATTTCTGACACATTGAAGTAATTGTTACTTATTAGCAATTGTTGCACATAAAGTAACCACAACCTTTAGCGGTGACACTTCCTATTATTAATATGTCGACAGCTTGTAGGCCCGTGCTGCTGCATCTGCAACATGTTGCTGCACTTTTGTAGGTTGTCTGCTCTCGGCTGTTGAGCTTCTCACCTACATAGACACGGATGTCTGCTTTTTTTGCCATGTCTTAAAGAAGCCAGACTCTTGGTTTCTAGTGAGTTGGAGGATTTATCCGCGTAGTTTTTGAAGCAGATCATGAGGGGACTCATTTGAAGACTGTTGGCCCACCACATGACTTTCATTATTGCAAAATTTAGCCTGACAACTAAAAGCACAGCTGTGGCACAGTGCAGCACCTGACCTAATGTTTCAGAATCACTACAGTATACAGAGGCTTTGTGAACCGTTCAGAGCTGTTAAGTTCCTCATTCACACTTTGTGTTTCTCTGGTTTGTTGTACAAGTTTTGGCTTTTCAGTGATTCTCCTGGTGAGAGTTTAGCCCTCAGAACGATGACTCAGCATGTCATTAAAGATAATTGCTGTTTAGAGTTGGTGCCAAACGACGATGCTGCTTTATTTGTTTCTCTTCAGGGGTCATGTTTTTACTTGACTTTTGAATCTGCTTACTTTGAGTACTTAACTTTGACTTTCCCACAAATGGAAACACCAGCTTTAAGTTGCTTAGAGTTAGAGCAGGGCGATATGACCAAAAATATTTATCGCGATATACATTTGAAAATTTGCGATAACGATATAACTGACGATATAATTGACACTAGACAAAATACTTCACAACTCCCCAACTTTATTAGTGCAAAAACCCCATCAATGTATTTTCACTTGAAGAAGAAATACATTGATGCGCTTTTTTTATGTGCATTAAAGTGATATTTTACTGTGCAAATGCAAATTTCTTGCTGACAGTTTAACCAAAAGGCATTTCTAGTGGAAATTAGCCGACATATCCTCAGCATAACCATGTAGAATATCCACAAAACTTAAACAGAGGTTAAACACACACAATACGGTAATATTATGTTGAAGCACAGTACGTATCACTCCGCGAGGCTCCTGCCTACAATGCTGTAATGCTCCGACAATCGTAGCTTAGCAAAGTCGTACTGAAACATTTGACAGATTTTCGAGCGCCGTGTACATAAAATCGTTTCGAGGTCAGTAAACACAACCAGAATTCATACATAAGGCCCATTGGATTATAAGGAGCACTGTCGATTTTCAGAAAAATCAAAGGATTGATTTTAAGTGTGCTGTATTTTCCAAACAACGCGGTAATAATGACGGCCCGCTAGCATGCTCTACCAAAAAATGTGCTGTGTTGTGTATCTGACGGACGAAAGCTAAACCAGTTCCACACCAGTGAAATTGCAGCATTTTTACAAACCAGTTCTGGTTTCATTTAACGATCCACTTTCGCTCTCCTCGTTCTCCGTCGCCGCCATGCTTTTTCCACCATGTGCGTATGAAAACAAAGGTTCTGTGCATGCGCGTTTTACCCATATTCTATCGCGATATTTCATTTTCTTATCATTGCCCAACATTATACCGGTATTACCGTGAACGGTATGATATGGCCCAGCCCTACTTAGAGTCACCTGCACAGGTGTTTATGTCTGTCTTTATAAGTGTCTTTATATTTTTTTCCACTCTCAAATCTCACCCAACTACAGCCAGAAATTAACTGATGTTATTAAACCAACTTTGGCATCATCACAACACTTTGCAGAGGACTGTGGTATATCTGGTTGTGTTCTCTGTTTGTGTTAGCGATCCCTCAATGGATCGTACTTTGACCCCTCTGCACGGGGTGACCTACTGCCTTATTTTGCTGTTGGCACCACTCTAAACGAGTCTCCTGGATACACCAGATTGTTAGTCAGTATGATCAACACATTTTTGGGGGAAATACTCACATAGCAAACCAAGAAAAACTTCAGCAAATAGCATTTCCCAGTGTCGTATTAACATAGCGAGGCTGTTTGAAGTTCAGTGTAATGCAGATTTATTGTGATAACCACAGGTTAAGTGTAGCCTATGTAACCTTTATTCTTTTCTCTCACCTCAGAAGTTTGTTTATGACTGTTTCTTGTTTATTTTTAGATCACAAATCATTTTTGTGATGTCGTGAAGCTCTCTCTATCATATAAATAGCTGACCCAGGATAACTACTACTTTCCTCTTCACCTTCTGTGATTTCTCTCATAAAGCATCGTGGGGGTTTTTTCCCCTTTTGGACGGATGTTTTTCTGCCATGCTCGATAACAAAAAGCGTCTCCTCTCATAATAACAACGCCTGTGAGCTGTTAGCCATGTAGAGTGACATTTAACTGTGCACTGTAGCCAACATCTGGTAAGGAGTAATAGAGACCGCTTATGTTGACACATTTCCTCCTCGCTTCATCACATCGACTGTAAATTCCAGTTTATCCCTTTTCCTCCTGTTCCACCTTTTCCTCACAACAGACAAAGACCGCTGAAAGTAGTTCCTGAAAGCGTCACTGTTTAGTCCAGAACATGCAGATGAATATTTGACACATTTTTAAACTAAACAGGTTTAATTTGGGGCCTTTTTCTTTTTTAACCTTTAGTATTTGAGTAGGAAGTGTGATGTCACACACTGTGTAGGGAAGATGGAACATTGTGAGCTTTTCATTGGCTTTCCTGACAGTAATGAAAATATCCCACATCATCAGTCTTGTCCATTAAATATCTGCTGAACTGGCCTTTTTTCTACCCGTAACTCTACTTAATGTGCCTTATTTACTTTCCTCAAAAATAAATCAAAATCACAGGCTTAAATATACATCAGGCTGTGGTTGCCCATGATTCCTGCTGTTTCTCTTTTATACTTCTGCAGCTGAATCAGTGTAAAGGCACAGTCATAGATGTGCAGATCTGCCGCAAAGAAGCAGACATTTGGATTCTTGTACAAACTTCTTTCCACTGTTAAGCATTTGCCGTGCATTTTATTTTAAAAGTCAACATCAGAAATCAAATTTAGTTGATATTTACGTGTCTAAGCTCTGCTATGCAAATAAGTCTAATTAATAAAGCTAAGATTGGAGTGTGTGTGTGTGTGCAACCAATCACACATCAGCCTGCTTCTCAGTTCAGAGCCTTTGTTGCAGGTTGTTGCATTTCTCAGTTAGTGAAGGAGAGACGAGGAGAG